ACACCAATAGATGGTATTTCAGCTTGTGTACATTTCAAATGAAAAAAAGATCAAATTATTTTTGTCACCGTGGTTAGGAACGCCAGAGCCACATCTACTGGAACACTTGGATGTAATACCAATGAAGCATACAAATTTAACATACCACAATATCGACTGACATGTTTTATTACAATTTTAGTTTCCACAAGAATTTAGGAATATTGCCAATGCGAGACAGTTGTTATGACCCCAACAGGCCAAATAACAAGAGCTGGTTAAGTAGACGTTGAAACTGTTGTTGTTGTTGTTGCTGCTGCTGCTGTTGAACAGGCTGGGCTGAAAACAGTCAAATGTCAAATCAGAATAGATCTGTGCTTTATGTGGAACATGCATTGTACGTCTATTTTGCACTCATACAATCTAAGGACTCTTCTGTGCCGAGATACCGGGTGATGCTATCACACATTATTCAAATATAATGTATCCGAAATCATATACCGGTATGTATGTCTTGGTAAATATGTTTCCACTGGCTTATACTGACGTCAGGTAATAAGAGCACATCACACAACTTACGGAAACAGGTCCTGTTGTCGAAGGATGGCAGGGATAGGTTGGGGTTGCACAGACAGCCGTACGACCCCGCAGTGTCGACACATCTCCCACTGGGCACATAGGTGTGGAGATTGGGCTCATAACTCACCCCACAGAGGTAATTATTTTCTGAACACTCGTCAATATCTAAAAAAACCCATAAACTTCATGAGGTTTATTTGAACTCTCAGCACTGCAACTTTCTGACAAGGGATTTGACAAAATTAAACATGCATTTGTCATGAATATATACTAAGGATGAAAAAATGACAAAACATCTTTTTGAAAACTCAAAATTTAAACTCGCGAATAGTGACCCATGGGCGGAAATGTTTCGTTCCGCTCAGAATTCATGTTTTGGAGGTTGTACTTGAATTAAAGTATGTTTAAGTATCACGACACAAAATTCAACTCATTTTGACTTAATTCGGCCAATTTAGAGCAATATTTAAAAATCTCGCCCAAGGGCGAAAAACAATTTTATCATAGGCGGGAATATTTACTTTAGCTTTTTTAATGTTTTGGACGCTGTAAATGAATTGGATTTTCACATGCAATAGTAATAAGAAACGTATCCCGCATTTATGCTCAGCAAAAGTAAAGACTGTAAAATACATGAGAGTTGTCTGACATGAAGAATCAGCTACCGGGCGTTGTGTCAAAATATCCATTCTGTTTACACAAAGAAATTAGGAATATTGTTTAACAACTTTAGAAACTGGGCAGGTGTGCGTCTGGTCTTTCAAATAACCGGTGTTGTGTATGACTGTGCATACCGGTAGCTATTTAACTCATTGTTACAACATACACAAAGGATAACACCAGGTCATTGCGACATACATTCAAATATACACTTCAATATGACGACATACACACACGAACATAACTCGTTATCACAACATTCATGCCGATACGGGGCGGTGGGGTAACCGAGTGGTTAAAGCGGCCGCTCGTCACGGGACCCGGGTTCGATTCCCTACATGGGTACAATGTGTGAAACCCATTGATGGTGTCCCCGCCGTGATATTGCTGGAATATTGCTAAAAGCGGCGTAAAATTTCACTCACTGATGCCAATTCACACATTATTGTTGAAGTAAAATTAATGTGTTTTATCAAAACCTGGTGATTGACAAATGGCGAGGTTATGTGTGACATATAACTTACTGGAGCACACATTCGGGTCGGTTAGAGTCGTCTGGAAACCTGTAGTACAGTTGCACGTAGGGACTATTGTTACTGGTGGCAGGACGCAGACGCCATTAAGGCAGCCAGCAGTGTCGCACAGAGCTGTCAACCAAACCAATAATACCTTTCTTATCAAAAACGTTTCATCCAAAAACATCATAACTAATCAAAGCATTTATGCCGTAAATTCGCATATGACCATCAAAGATAAAGAAGAATATGTAATTATGTATTTCTTTCATACAGAGCATTCAGAATTCTAGAAAAGGAATTATGCTAGAATTAGAAGTCGCTTGTTTGATGAAAATGTTGTATATATTCATGCAATTTACAGCGTTGAGGTGAACTTGAGTACACTCTGTATATGATACTAATTCACATTTCGAAATACATAGATATCATCGTTCAATGACAATTATAAAGGACTTTTATAGGGCGTGATCCAAGAAATTTGGCAGTCGAGAGGCGTTAAACTACGGATATCACGAACTGAAATTAGTAGCTCCTTTGAGATCGATAAAACCGTAGTTTACTGTATGATGTATTACATATATGTATGGTTCAGTATGCCTGTTAAAGCTGTGAATGCCTAGAAAAAATCGCGTGTGAATGACCTCCACCACGTATAATAATACTAAATTTAACTTACCTTGAGCTGATGTCAACGGCATGTACACCGCCAAGACAACAGCAATGGTGAACAAAGACGAAAACATGGTGTAAAAAAGCGAGTCAGTAGACAATGCATCTGTGACAGACAGACATGGGGTTATATAGCTGCCCTGCCTCACCCCCAAAAAGGAATATGTTTTTGTTTACTTCTCTCCTCGTCATTTGACATTAGATGTGCCCATAACTTTTAAATCACATCACGGAACAAAAGCAGTATATCCACAGCTATGTGCATACATCCATCATTTGTAACAAGACATGCTCCTGTTATTACACCGGGATTAGAGTTTTCTTTCATGGTATTAAAAAAAATGTCGATAGAGGTAGATGACCTCCAGGTGACTCTGTTAGTGACCTCCCATTCACTCTTTATCTAGTACGTGATGTTATGAAAGCCTCAGGACATACATTCCAAGTTATTGATAGTCTGATAAATGCATTGCCACACAATACCAGTTTGAATCTCATTGTTTAGTTAGCTTCTGATGACTGGATAGAGAGATTATTAGCGGAGTAGTTGTTGTTTGGGGCTTTTTTTATTATTGGAAATATCATACATTTATTTGATTACATTAGATTACATTATACAATAGCTGAGTTGGGGGTGGGGGTGGGGGTGGGGGTGGGGTCTAATTTGAAACATCATACATTACATTACATTACATCACATTATATTACATTATTGAACCGCGATAATTATGATGTACTGTCCTCCAAATCGAACATAATTAATACGTAAACAGCGTTAGTCCTATCTGCACTGTATATTCAAGCATATTCAAGCGGATCAGTACTTTGAGAATAACAATCTGAAAACAGACCATTCCTGATCTAGTGAGAAATGTTCTTCTTTAAAAAAAATTTTCCTTAAAAAAATATTACTTTTCTCCAAAAGGTCGTTTCATATCATTTACTTTAATTTAGAACATCAAATCACAATCATCCAGACAATTGGTCTGTTCTATTCTTGGAGGATAGTACATTGTGTATTTCTTCAACTCACTAGCAACTGAAGACAGTACAGATTCTTGTACCGTTGTCAAGAAGGACACAGATTCAAGCAGGACAAAAGTACATGAATCTGTATGGAAACGTCGCACTCACGAAAGAAAGAAGTTGTTATCCATAAAGTTTGTTCAACATAGAGAGATGGTAAGATAGATATAGAATTATGATTTGAGATAGATAGATAGATTTAGAAATATGATTTGAGATAGATAGATAGATAGATTTAAAAATATGATTTGAGATAGATAGATAAATAGACATATAGATTTAGAAATATGATTTGAGATGGATAGATAGATAGATAGATAGACAGATAGATTTAGAAATATGATTTGAGATAGATAGATAGATATATAGATAGATAGATATATAGATAGATAGATTTAGAAATATGATTTGAGATAGATAGATAGATAGACAGATAGATTTAAAAATATGATTTGAGATAGATAGATAGACAGATAGATAAACAGATAGATTTAGAAATATGATTTGAGATAGATAGATAGACAGATAGATTTAGAAATATGATTTGAGATAGATAGATAGATAGATTTAGAAATATGATTTGAGATAGATAGATTTAGAAATATGATTTGAGATAGATAGATAGATAGACAGATAGATTTAGAAATATGATTTGAGATATATAGATATATAGACAGATAGATTTAGAAATATGATTTGAGATGGATAGATAGATAGATAGATAGATAGATAGATAGATAGATAGATAGATAGATAGATAGATAGATAGATTTAGAAATATGATTTCTATGACACATGAATATAAAGCCGTGTCCATCACATTCCGGATTTCTTCCCGTACTCCGATGTTGTAGTTATTTGCGTCGTCGTGGTTTAACGTATACAGCCATCACTATGACGACAGGTAATGTAATACTGTGCTGGAGATGCGTTACGAGACAGTGACAAGAAACTGGAGAACCGCCACCGACATACCACCACAACAAGGACAACACCATGCATGTTACTGTCTATATATGTTTTTAAATCTACAGAATGTGTAACGGGCGGTGGGGTAGCCTAGTGGTTAAAGTGTTTGCTCGTCACGCCGAAGACCCGGGTTCGATTCCCCACATGGGTACAATGTGTGAAGCCCATTTCTGGTGTCCCCCGCCGTGATATTGCTGGAATATTGCTAAAAGCGGCGTAAAACCATACTCACTCACTCACTCAGAATGTGTAACAAATATCTGTGCCTTGTGTAGTATGTACTTTCATTAACTTACCAGTATCTGAGACCATATACCGTATATGGTCTCTGTCAGTATCAAAATAAGAACTACATTAACAACGGAAAATTCTCTTGACACCTTTTGATACGACCCCACCCAAGCACAAGGCTTTCCTGTGTAAAAAAATAATCTCTCTCGTGTAAGCCAGTTGTCAGAGGAAAAGCTTTCCGTCGAACCCTAAGCTAGCCTTGTTCCAAGGCTTAATTGAAGGCTGAGCCCATGGATGTATAGTAATTCTATCCATCGCCTTATACCTGTTCATTTTTGTCTTAAAGACTTGTGCAAGTCTAGCCCCACGCCTCCAGTGTACTGTAGTAGTACACAGCGAACCTCGTACACAGCGTGTGTCAAAGGTCACAGTCTGAGTTCGTTTGGTAGCAGGATGCACCGTTCACAGGCATTGTGGCTTTGTTTTACAGGTACGTTTTACATGTTTTACACTATATACTTTATACACTTTGTAAGTAGCATGTAGCATGTTAGCTTTTATTTCAATTCACCATGAACAATTCCCATTGAGCTGACGTGACAGTGACTTACGTGTGTCGAAGGAAACGGGGCGAGACTCCATTTTACACCATCCATTCAGCCTTGTGTACAGAAGCTCAAATATACTAATGACCGGCCAATTAACGTTATTTTGACGTGGTGTGGTGTTAGTCTGTAGAGGTGGAAACGTGTTTGACGGGGTGGGGGTGGGGGTTGCGTAGGAGGTGATATTGGAGTAGTTACATCGAGGAAGGGACCGGCATAAGGGACCGGCATTAGGGACCGTTCCTAATTAATGGCGGTTGATGATTTCAAAGGGGGTCACACATTTTGTTCCGGGGAGTAAAGGGGCATCATCAATTTTGTACACATATAAAAAGTAAGCGTAAAATTTAGAGGGGTTGGGAATGATTGGGTGGGTGGGGGTTGAGTCAATGATATTGTACATGGCATGCGGGGGTCATTCACACTGAACATGCTTATCCATAGAATCCATCGCTTACAACTACAAAAAGTGATAGTGTTTCATGGAACGCCGGTGTGAAATCAAGAACTGGTCCGTTGACACTCCACCGTGCATAGATTCAAGCAACACCTGTACGACTGTGTAAAAGAAACCCTAAAGACTGATTCCAAGACGAAGAGGTCACCTCATCTATATACCATGTGCCATTGACATTGTGACTTTTAGTGGACTGTGCTTTGTTCTGTGAATTTGTAATTGTTCTGTGCTTTCCACGATTGTATCCTACAGGGAGAGTGTTTATACCATTTAGTTCATTCCTTAAAGTACAATGCCTCTCTTTTCGTTTAAATCTACTAAATCTGACGACGGGTCCTCCAGTCCTTCCTGTTTTCCCTGGAGGGTCCTCAGAAAATCTAAACGTACAACTACCGCCACTCGCTCAGTCTCTCCATCAGCCTCCTCTCAGCCTACCACCTCTAGTCCCGGTAATCACCCATGTCGCATTAAAAATCCCCACTGTAATAACAGTTATTGCTCTCCCCTTCAATGTTCCTCCCCGCCCGCAGGCCGTCCCGCTGGCCATCCCCAACCCCGTGTCTGTTGCACAAACCTCCCAATGCCACTGTTTGATGGACATGATCCCCGCTCTGCATCTTCCTGGCTAAGCAGATTTCAGAAATTTGTTAATATTCAAAATTTCGCTGATGAAGAAATCATTAACGTTTTTCCTTTATATTTATCGGAATCTGCGCTGATTTGGTATGAAGTACTTCCCTGTAAAGACAATATGACATGGCCCGAACTCAAACAATCTTTTCTCAAATGGTATGGCCCCACATCTATCCAAATTATAAATCGTAAAAATTCCCTTATCGACAGGAAACAAAAGAGCATCAGGACTTTCGATTATTTCTTCAATCAATTCGGCATGAGGCATCCCTTTTGAAATGTAACGATGACCAATTCATAAAAGACCTCATTTTCAGAAATTCCCTTCCTCATATCGTTCAATTTATTGCCACCAGACGCCATGACACTTTGTCCGATATGATAGAAAGTGCCCAGGTATCAGAGGACACATATCAAAGGTCTGGTATGGAGGGAATCATGTCTCTCATCTCATCAATTAAAGTTAAGCTGGACAGACTACATGAAGAGCAGCAGAAGCAAACTAATGACTTTCAACCCTCCCCCAGCAATGCATTCCCCCAACCCCTCCCTTCCCCCTGCCATCACCCAGTTTTCCCCGTCCCACCACCTCCCATCCCATCCCCAGTGTATCATGCCCACAGACACCCATACATGTGCATCCACTGTGGGTTATACCATCTCAGTCCCCCAGAGTGTCGCCTCCACCCCCTCAACTTATTTCCGACACCACTTATTACCTTCTTTGTAAATGTGTTCCGTTTCATGTCCCTGTTCTGTATGCTCTCAATCGCAGCATACACCTGTGTGTCTATGTTCCATCAAAGTAATTGTCTGTCCTCCTGGCCACCGCTTTCTAATATGTACTGGAGTATATATGTATGTATTCATGGGCCGTTGTTTGAGTAATGTTTGGAGTTGAAAGATGTGTTTAAAATATGTCTGAGATTGATTTGCCATGCTTTGCTTTTTATGGGAATGTTATGCCCATAAGCTGGAATATGGATATGATGTCTTAAGAACTTGAAAGTGTATTTTTAATGGTGTGACGAGAGTAGATGAGTAGATGATGTATGTGTGTGTGAGAGAGAGAGAGAGAGAGAGAGAGAGAGAGAGAGAGAGAGAGAGAGAGAGAGAGAGAGAGAGAGAGAGAGAGAGAGTGTGAGGAGAGAGAGAGAGAGAGAGAGAGATTTGCGCGGGGGGCGAAGAGGGGGGGAATTGACTAATTTATTGCTAAAATGATACAAAATGTTGGTGTGTGTGTGTGTGTGAATGTGTGTGTGAAAGAGAGAATTGACTGTTATTTTAATGTTAGAATGATACAAAATGTTGAGGTGTGTGTGTGTGAGAGAGAGAATGTGTGTGTGTGTGCGTGTGCGTGTATGTATATGTGTATGTGTATGTGTGTGTGTGAGTTTCATGTTTATATTGCATGGAAGCTTGGCTATTTAGGAATTTGTTATTCATGCAAAGGATACAATGTGCACCTGAACATGAAATCTTTTGCCTGAATTTCTTGAATGTACATGTATGATGTTATACAGTGCTACAAGCTTATTATTCTGTCATATATGTTATTGTGTTAAACAGGAAGAAAATGGTTCCACGACACAAATCTTTACCTGTCCATACAAATTTTCAACAAATATTGTCATTCTTATGTCGATATTCCTGTCAGCAAACCTCGGCTGAAATAATGTTTTAAGTTTTGTGATTATCAGGGTGTGTGTTTTTAAACAATGTCTGTTTATTGTAGAGCTTATCCCTACTACTGAGGAATTTGTGTAATTATTGTCACATCAACTAACATGTGATGTTAATTTGGCAGTTTTAAACAAAATCATAACTTTTCATATTGAAAACATATAATTTATCTAACATATTTTGTAACTTATTTGCTACCTCATTCACAATGCTTATAAAGACGTGGGGGCACGTCCTTTTTCACAGAAAGGGCGTATGTCGTAGGCACTTTGATGGGGTATGGGTTTATCGGGAAATATAGACATGTTTGTATGTTCTCTGAGTTTAGTTAAAGTTGTGTTATCTAAATCTAAATCACAGTGCTGACAATAGAAATGAAATATCAGCAGCTTGTTATGATGACCATCAGCACAGCCATGTACAGGTCAGCTGCCTGCGTGTAATTAACCCTAATTAACTTTAGAGTATGGCCGGTCGGCCACGGAAGTTTAACATTGTGGATGAGGTGCATGCTGGACACTGCAGGTTGACCATACATGTATCGTAATACGATACAGGGCAGCCTGACAGTCAGTAGTATATAGACAATGAATTAATGTCCCTCGGACAGCGGCTAGGCAGGTGGGCTGACGATCGCCTCTGTGATGCTGCCTGGCCGTTGCTGCACTTTCATGTAATTGCAAACTTAGCTGCCGAATAAAGTGTTGTGGACCCACTGATGGACTTCTGTATTTGAAGAGACAGATATCCCATAAACGCTTTAACAGCCCGGGATACTTCGTCTGAGGCTGACTCCGTCGTTTCTTGGTGTTTTTGATGGGAGAATACCGAGCGTGTCGCCCTGAGGTCGAGGTGTTAACTGGTATGGGATCTGTTGAAAAGTACGCTATATTTTTTTCTCAGTCCACATACATCAGTTGTTGCGTACAGGTCGAGGATTTACATATCTCACACTGAGAGTTAATCTGAGTTCAGGTCATGGTGGGTGTGAATTGCATAGGACCTGAAAAATATATTTATGGCAACTCAATAACAGGTTTTCAGTCCTGGCCTTGAGATATAAATACACCACATAAACAAGGCATTGTGAGTAAGTCGATCAACATAATGTCTGTCTTTCAGGGTTTGACACAGACTTTTAAATATGGGAGTCATGGTGACTCACAATATTTATTTTTGGGAGTCATTTTCAATATTTGGGAGTCATGAAAAGTTAAATATTTCTTTGTGTTCATCATTCTCAGTATGTAAATGTATGTCACACCACCAAATGAAACTACAGCATTGTTCTGTTCAGACAGCCAGGATTACTGTCTCCTCTGAGTTCTCTGGAACAATCTGACAATATCATTCTTTGCTTATGAAATCGATTTTATTGAACTGAGTTGTGAGGGTCACCCATAAAACCTGCTTCAAGCTTGACTCGTATGATACTATTTTGAGAGTAGTTTACAAAATTGTTGCGTCGAATACTTAGGAATAACGCGTCATGTAAAACCCTGCTGTTTTCATTAATATTTCCTGCTGATAAATTATTGACGTGTGCAATGAGTGAGTGAGTATGTTTTACGCCGCTTTTAGCAACATTCCAGCAATATCACGGACGGGTACACCAGAAATGGGGTTGACACTTTGTACCCGTGTAGGGAATCGAACCCGGGTCTTCGGCGTGACGAGCGAATGCTTTAACCACTAGGCTACCCCAACGCCCCCGCTCTGGTCCTCAGTTTATTTTTTAAGTTATCGCTGGTGTTGCACCTTCATTGGTTTTTCAGCCCGTGAAGATCCGGGTCAGAATTGCTCTTCATCAACTAACGTTTGCGTAAGAGGCGACTAACGGGATCGGGTGGTCACGCTCGCTGACTTGGTTGACACATGTCACCGTATCCCAATTGTATAGACCGATGCTCATGCTGTTGATCACTGGATTGTCTGGTGCAGACTCGATTATTTACAAACCTCCGCCATATAGCTGGAATATTGCTGAGTGTGGCGTAAAACTAAACTCACCCACTCACACTTAATTATTGGTTATATGGTCCGTTATCGGCTATACATTCTGTTTTCACTTATCTGTTCATTTAACAGTTTTGATGGACTGTTATTACTGATGTTAGCTTTCCTGTCTGTTGTCAGCTGTTGTTAGTACCCCGGGATGTTATTGTTTGGATATGTACCTCTTCAAGCACACAAGTCCATCAGTGGGTGCACAACACTTTTATTCGGCGTCTAAATATTCAATTACATGATCGTGCAGCTACGGCCAGACACCACAGAGGCGATGGATGGTCAGTCTAGCCGCTGACCGAGGGTCAAGTTTTCTTACAAGAAGAATCCTACGTATATACTGACTGACAGGTAGCCCTGTATCGTATTATGTTTTGGTCAGCCTGCACAGACTGAATATCGGTGGATGATCTCCGGCCTGCAGTATCCGGCATCTCACAATCGTAAATTTCCGTGGCTAATCGGCCATACTCTGAGGTTAATTACGCGCAGCTGGCTAGCCTTGGTCCAAGGCTGTACTGAATGCTGAGCCCATGGATGTATAGTATTTCTATCCTTCGAAGGGGCAAGTCTGGATAGGCGGACAGTACGGACCCCAGACTGTCATTTATTGTCTTTTAGAAATTATCATTTAAACGATTAATTTTAACCTTAGAGACTTGTGCAAGTCTAGCAGCTGACCTGTACATGGCTGTGCTGATGGTCATGATACTAAGCCGTTGGGGTTTCATTAAATTGACAGCCCTGTGAAGATTTAGATAACTTAACTCAGGGAATATACAGACATGTCTAAACTCTCTGTTAAAACCCATATCCCGCCATAGTGCCTACGATATAAGGGCTGAAAGGGTCGTTGTCGACACGGGTACTACAGACGTGTACCCGGGTACGTTTCTGTACGCAATTCCATTCCGCAATGTGTCGTTTTCTTGATCGGAATTGCCATACTGTTGTATTAGATGCATTTGATTGCGTAATATAGGAAACGATCATACACAGTAACGAATATTTCATGATGCACAATCCCATTCACAGTCAGCTGAACGGGAACTACTAAATACGGTTTCGGTTTTGGGTTGCGGAATATGGACTCGTCCGCAGTGTAGGGTACCGGGTACGGTTTTGTATATTGACTTTGCTTAGGGTACATTTCGTTTATAAGTTATTAGTCTGGGCTGTCTGGTGTTGACTCGATTTTGTACAGAACGCCGCTAGAGCTGGAAAATTGCTGAGCGCTGCGTTTAACAAGACACAAACATAAGGCGGGACTATTATCGCGGATGAACAGGAATGCAGTTGTAGCGGCCATAAAATTTTCGAGTCCCGTGCTGGATTCGAACCACGAACCTTCTAATCCGAAGTCGGACGCCTTGTCCGCATGACCAAAGAGGTTAACCTCGTCAGCAAGCTGACAAGGTAAGGATGTCATCTATGGGATGACTCCACGCCCTACTATATACTCCCCGTCAACAGACGCACGTCCCGAGCCGCATAGTTGGGTACTGAGGAATTATTTTGCTCAAGTTTGGTATGTACGTGCTCAGCGCCACGTTAGGGCACCAATGTAGCAACCATAAAATTTCCGAGTCCCGTGCTGGGATTAGAACCACGAACCTTCAAATCCAAAGTCGGACGCCTTGTCCGCATGACCAAAGAGGTTAACCTCGTCAGCAAGCTAACAAGGTAAGGATGTCATCTGTGAGATGACTCCACGTCCCGCTACACAGTGATTCACCGATTATCAAAATATTTGTGACTTGCTAATCACAGGGGGCGGTGGGGTAGCCTACTGGTTAAAGCATTCACGCCGAAGACCCGGGTTCTATTCCCCACATGGGTACAATGTGTGAAGCCCAATGTTGGTGTCCCCTGCCTTGATATTGCTGGAATATTGTTAAAAGAGGCGTAAAACTAAACTCACTCACTATTAATCACAGGATCCAGGCACATCTCATGGAAGCAACTCTGTAGGAAAAGCTGCGTGTTGTGGACTCCTGAGACTATCATTATTTTCTGAGGACTTATTCACGTTTTCAATTATATAACAATGTAATAATACATTCCCGTCTCCATTTTCAGTCACTCTCGCCGTCCCGATAGTGGCTGGGGACGCCACATTTGTTCGGACAACTCTTCAAGGACATTTTTCAGAAGCCAGGCATCACGTGACCAATCCAGATTATAAACTCAAAACCAAAATTTTATTTCAACGGAATTCAGGAATTATGGCCTAGAAACGCACGAGCATTCCTTTACAGGTGAAAACCAGGTAATATGTAAATGAGTTATGATATATGCACATTTCCCTTTCCCTGTTTACACCCTCAGTCCTGAATATATCTGGCAATAAAGAGCAGTGTCGTAATTTATGTCACGATTAAATTTTGATCTGCAATACCATATGAGCCCAATTCTTTGTGCCTTAAAACAACGAAGCGAGGTGGAAATGTGTGACCTGGCTGTTTGTGTGTTTTATTTGTTGTTTACTATCAACCACTAGTTTCTTTATACTACATTAATTCGCAGTGCTGAGTCCTGAATTCAACAACATAATTCATAAGATTTTAAACTCAGGGTAACCTGTCTCTTCAACTACGAGATGTGAGGGGTCTCAGTTGTATTAATTCGGGCTGGCATTCCATTTCACGAGAGCAGGTGCGGTGCTGAAATTTCAAGCATTATGTTTGGGTTAAATTTTGAAAGGTGCTTGGTAATTTTTATAATAAACTGTCAGCATTTTAAGGCGTTGCTAAGAGCAGCGTTCACCAAAAACACCCACCACCTTCCGAAATGCAAGGATGGACGCTGGTCTTGGGTTCGAATCCTATGTATACCCCGATTAACATTATTTGAGACCCATATACCCAAAGTGGTAAACGTTTAAACAGTGCATTTTTTTTCCATCTTTTCCTCTTAAATTAAACTGACACATTAGAATGAAAATACAGTTGATATCGGAGTTAGTTTCTGTTTATTCACGCACCTTTGATGCCTGTTTATGAAGGTGGCTGCTGTCAATGTTATCGGCGTTCTGAAGGGTTCGATGTTCAACACCAGTGATGACAGGGTGTTCGGTATCGCGGCTCACTACGACACAATGAGAAACACAGCAGGTGAGTAAATATGTTCTCGCAATGTTGGAAAGAGACTTCCAGACCCGAGAAGATCCGGGTTAGAATTGATCTTCAGTAATGCTATCGTACATTTGGGCCCTGTCTCGCCCTGATTATTGGTGCCCGTGAGGATCAAGCGTTAAAACTGGACTTCAGCAACCCAGGCTTGTCGTGAGAGGCGACTAACGGGATCAGGTGGTCAGACTCGCTGACTTGGTTGATACATGTCATCGGATCCCAATTGTATGGATCGATGTTCATGCTGTTGATCAGTGAACTGTCTGGTCCACACTCGATTGTTTACAGACCTCTGTTATTACAAACAAACCAACCTTTTTTATAGGAACCATTGAGAATAAGATGCAGTCTTCCTAAAACATATTCTTTTTCGCAAGAGGCGACCTTCAAGATCGGGAGATCAGGCTCTTTGATTTGGTTGATGCATGTAATTGCACACTAGCTTGGTAGATCATTGCTATTTGTCTCAATGTCTGGTCCAGACTTGTTATTTATGTAGAGCTGAAATTGTGCTGAATGCGACATAAAACAACATGCAATCAGTAAGATTCTCATTCTGCCAAGATTATTTCCAACAGTCTGCTTACACGTGCCTCCAAAAACCCAGAGAAAAGCGCCTGCAATCTCTCCAAAATACAGCTGCCCATCTTGTTACCCGTTCTAAGCCTTCCTGTGACGTACATTTCGTTCTGGATTCCTTGCACTGGTTACGGATCGATGAAAGAATTGATTTCAAGGTACTCCTCTAGCTTTCCAGTGTGTTAACTTACAATGTCTCCCTCATATACCTGTGTGATCTTCTCACACCCATACACTCCTACTCATTGCCCTCCAGATCCAGTAACCAACACCTGCTGGATCCTCCACCATTCAACCTCAAGACCTTCAACTTAAACTACGTACAACTCCATCTCTTCAAGTGTTCAAGCGTATGCTTCCATGCACACCGTTTCAGCCGATACAAACAGTAACTCTCCAAGAACTTTCCGGAGGCAATATGCTTAGACTCCCCGAACACTGCAGCCTTCTGCATTACCCAGAGGTCAGAAGGAGGGCTGTGCTCATGATGAAATTGGCAATGCAGCTGGCCGCA